GAAGGACACAGAAGGAGTTTGAACTGCCCGGGCTATAACTTCGAGCCAATTACCGCTTTCTGGCATGCCCGGTATGTCCATATATAGCCAGAGTGCAGCGTAAGCTTGCTACGCACCACCTGTTTTGAAACCATAAGCCCCCTTTGTACCCAATGATCGTCGCAATTTTTCGTTGGTAATGTGCATTCCTAAAACGTTGTGTACTGCAGTATAGGAAGTTCAATATTCACGCCATCGTTGGTGCTTGACTGGACCTGACAACAACATTAAATTTAGTGCTTGCGCAGTTGCTTTTACGAGGCTGTGTACCCGAAGTGTTCATGTGCAGTTGTTCCCCTTATCGAATGCTTTATTCTCCACCTCTTTTGGTAATAAATAGCAAAGCTGCCTTTAAGATTTTGAGTTTTATTTGAATTGTTTTTATTACGGAATTTAGACAAAAAGGTATTTTATGAGGTCTCATGATCACTCCGTCATGAAACAATGCATTTTGTTTTTCGTGAACTAAGCTATTCTGTGGTGTTCAATATATTGTTGGCCAGTTAGCCAAACTCGTACACAGACTTTGAAAACTGATATTTTGGAGTGACAAAATAAAATTACAAGCATATACATAGATAATGGAAAAGGGCATCAAAATCCTCAAAAAAAATATTCGCTACGGCAAAAGTAAATCTAACGTTAGATATTTTTCTTTCTGTTTCCGGGTCATTGCGATAGGTTGTACTTAATTCCAAAGAAAACGCCACAATTATTGTTACGATATTACTGGCCCCACTTGTCCAGCTTAGTAATCTAGCATTTTTGGAATGTTTACTATTGTTCGTCTGACCGGGCAGCGATGACCATCGAGCACTTTTATGTGCCAGAGTTGTAACTCCTTCTGTGTCCTTCCTCCATGGCACAGCCAAGGGGCTCATCTACCAAAAGTGCTGGAAGCCAATTGCATTGCAGGACTTGTTTTTACTTCGTTCATGCTTGCATTATAATGAACGAGTCTACAAATCTGACTACTTGGATTGAAACTCCGTATACATTATGCAAGCTCATGTCTTTCGTATGCAATTTTGGATAACTACATATCACCGACGGGGGTCCGATTGTCTTATCCGTCAATTAAGTCGGAATTACTGACTAGTGACTTATGACACAGGTTGTACAATAAAGGCGATCAAATGAGGGCGTCGTATAAGGGTTATGCGAGCTGCCGGGACGAGCGCGAAACCGTGTATTGCACCTGTTACAGGGATGACAGACCAGGGATGTGCAACGTAAGTCCGACTTGATTCCAGTCTAAATTCAAGCCAAACACAGGTGTATCACGGAAGACAGAAAAACACTGCTTGATTGGTACCTGAAAGACATGATCAAGAATTTGATTGAAACCCGTAAAGAAAAATATATCTGCGAATGGTTAATAGAAGTGAATAACAATGATTACAATTACAATTGTTTCATAGACATCCGATTAGGTCATTTAGCCACTGGGGTATTCCAACAAGTTGGACAATGCTAAAGTGAATTATGACATCATTTGATAACAAAGATCGTGACATCAATCCTAAGGAAAGATCAACTGATTCATAAAAACCTTTTCTATTGTAACGATAGCACAGCCTAATTTATCGAATGATATTCCTTTTTCTTATCAACTGTGCTGTATTGGACGTCTGTTAAATCATCAATTTAAGTTACGCAGAAATTACACAGAAATTCATACGCGCTGTAGGTAACGTTGCATTGCTGACACCCCATTATTATCTTTTGGAGGGAAGCATTTTTATAATAACGATGTTTTTAATAGAATAAGCACGTAGAAACACTGCCACCGAGGATTACGTATGTTTTCTTATTTGAAGTTTATAAATATCTGCCTCTGGCAGACCTACCGCTGCAACTTTCCCCAAGGTTGACATCATAAACCCCACACGATCTCTCCTTTAAAGGATTACTTGACGCGAGTTTACTTAGCTGCGGCTCTGATACTTCCGTGGCCAGATCATTTAAAAACCCCACGATTATTTGAGTTAATTCGACTAATGGAGGCGTTTCCGGCCGCTTACTTTTCTGGTAGACATTACGACGTTGTTTTGCGATTTCACAAAATTTCTTTTCTACATATACTATTCCCAAACTCTGAAAATATAATAGAAAAGGCAGAATATTATACATTTAATATTTTAATACAGGGTGTCCACATAAAAGTATACCGAGATAAAAATTACTGTAAAATCAAAAGTACTTTATTTAATATGGGAAAGAGAAATATATCTCTAGAAAGGGCAAAATGCCCTCTTTGCAATGCATACAGCTTGTGATGTTATTGATACAGATCAGTTAACAAACTAGACCGATGTGAAGGGTACCGAAATCGGCACTGCGACAAATTCCAGACCACAGCTACAGTAGTAACTTGAGTATGCTTCAAAGTGTCTTGTATGCCTGAATAAATAGCTTATCGTCGGTGGAATGCCTAGTGGGATAATGGTGGATGTCGAATATTATATTTCCAACATCTGTTAAGTATGAGGGGAAATACTGTGAATTTTTTGTACATAGATACGGCTCTCAAATATGAAAATCGTTTCTGGATGAGCATCCATCCGAACGTATCCAAAGCTTCACGGGAAGGGAAGTCGTACATCGTCTGCTCAATATTATTCCAGTACCGTTTTAAAATTTGTAGTTTTTAAAGTTTCTCTGTATGTTTTAGGACCAAATATGACCACAGTAGTCAAAATGGGGAAAGATACAGACAGGCCTTACGTTACATAGTATTTTGAGTGGTCGCAAAGGGATACAAGGCTTGATATGTCAGGGGTGGATCCAGGGGGAGTGGCGGCGCACGCCCCTTTTTTCACCAAAAATAATAAATATATAAAAAAGAAGAATAAAGAGTTGTCACACTGCCTGTCACAGAGCACCATGAATCTAGAATGCCTCCAGACCCCACGCCCTCCGGCATTTTGCCATTACCAGTACTGATTTAGTTCACGCCCCCGTTGGAAAATCTGGGATCTCCCCCCCCCGGAAAATCCTGGGTCCGCCCCGTTCGTCGTAGCCTACCTATCTGTTTTGTATTGTTGCCATCACTTTGCTTATTTGCTCATTCCATTTCAATCTTCACTTCATTCTTCATTTTTAATTCAAAAATAACACCCAGGCATTTCATTTCGCTGACTCTTTTTAATGGCACATTATTTAGTTTAGCATTAATGCTTCTAATTCTGTCAAGCTTACTTTTAGATCCAGTGATCATCAGCTTTGTTTTGTCATAATTTGTAACCAGGCCGTTTACATTTAGCCACTGTGAGATCTCAACAAGTGCATGCAACAGGTTTTGCTCAATGTCTGTACTAGATTTACCAGTAACTGTCAACGTGTCATCAGCAAACATGTCCACCATACCTGTGCCGACCGGTGATGGAATAGAATTCACCCAGATCGAAAATAACAGTGGACCCAATACAGAGCCAGGGACACCATTAACAACATTCTGGACTGTACAAAAAGTCTGGTTAGCTCGTTGGCTACGTCCTGGAAGATAACCCTTAAACCAGTGATTTTAGTTTAGCAAGAAGAGTTGAGTGATAAATATGTCAAATGCCTTACGGAGATCGATAACTGCCACACCGGTCAGCCAGTCAGTGTCAATGTTTTGACTCTTACTAATATGTGACCATTTTGCTCATTGTAGAGTGCTGAGAGTAACTGGAGTAATTAGGGTGTATAACTGGTTATCATTTAGAAATTCTAGATAAGCCCTTGACTCAATGTAGGATATGTCACTGCAGACTTCCCCCAAACAACAGTAGCCGCCTTCTTTGGATTGGATCAGTGTAGCCATCTACGTCTGATGATTGTGATATCGCACGCAGTGTTCATGCCTTCGCACCAGTAAAAGGAATTCCAGAACGCCTTTGTGATTATTGATATTTTTATCCGAGTGAAGCAGGTTTTCAATAAATGTGAACAAATTTCTCAGTCAGCACAATTACATCAAGTAAATCTCGGACGCAGCATGTCAAAATGCATGCTTAAAATATCACGGTAAAGTGATGAAAAGTTTGGTCAAGGTATTCGTGTCGAGATGCATTCCGGTAACCAATTTACTGGCCCATTGATGTTATTTTTATTTGATAGCTCGGTTGTTTCTGACGTCAGTTAAGTTCCGATTTAATCTAAATAATGTTACGTCTGATTTTTTGTCAAGGAAATATTCAACCGTTTACGTTGCTGAAATATTGATTTACTACAGCAATTTGTCTTTTAGGGAAACTCAAACGATCATGTTGGTTTGTTCTGTATAACGAAAGTTATTTTTATACATGAAATAAATCCGTGAAAAGTTTTGGCGAAATGCATGTTTGTTTGGTCATTTGCTTTTCTTATAGTTGTAATATTTAATAAGATGTCTTTAACGACACAATTCTAAAATTCTAAGACCGTAAAATTACGTTACTGTAATCTACCAGAAAAAATATGAAATTATTATATGCAACTACATCTACAAATGTACCGTACACGAAAAGTCTCATATTTCTCCTATGAAAGAAACTTGGAGATTTTTTATGCTACCACACATTGTGATCAATGCAAAATTAATTCTTCTTGTAAAGCATTTGATAAAATCTTAGGCTGAAAACAACAAGAATAGTGTCCGTGCAATAGACTTATGGAAACTTATAATTAAATTAAACTCTAAAAGTTGAAAAGACTTTTAAAATTCTTCTGAAATTACAACAATTTACAATATTTACCAACAGTGAATGCTTTGGTCCTTTTTTTCCAGGCTTCTACTAAGTATTTTCAGAAGCCTCTAAAAATATGATCCTTTCTGTAAATCCAACCTGTTTACCGCCGGCCAATGTGTTTGTAATGACACTTTAAACCTGTATTGAAATGACTTTTTTTTTACTTCAGACTCTTTCCACTTTACTTTTTTAATTCAAACTAAGCTTACTTTTTTACTTCAGACTCTTCCCTCAGAGACCTGAGATTTACAGTTTGGTATTTTCTGTTGTTGCGTTTAGGTAACTTATCGCAGACAGGTTGGTTGTAGCAGTACCCGTGCTTCCGCCGTGCTTCGGCTGAGACGTTGAATTCGTCGGGACTCCCGTCCGCTTGGCTTGCACCTTTTGTCTCCACATGCCCCGCACCCTCTCATTGAGGCAAAAGCTAAGGAAGATGAAGACTGCCTGGAGATAGTTGAGGATGATGTAGATGTAGGAGAAGGCCAGGATGCCCGTCACTGACTGCGACACGAAGCCAAACACCCAGGTCAGGCCGACAAGAGTGCAAATCTGTCGATTAAAAGATTTTTTTTTAATGTCTCGAGGTTCGATTTTTATAGTGTAGGTTCGTGATACTCACTGAAGAAAACTCGAGGCCCCGACGTCTTTGTAATACATGTCATATTTGCTACGTGTTTAAATTCCCAATTAGAGGTCAATCACGTATAAGCTCTATAATTGATAGGAGCTAACTTTTTCTGCAAAAGACCTGCAATTACATAGCTCACATGCATGCAGCCCAAGTTACCGACATGGAATGAACACCAGTTAATGGATAATCACAAGATTATAACAGTTACTTCACTCTAAGAATAATTTGTCAGTCTGATGCCCTCAACATAGTCTGGTTCGATTCAAATTCAAACACCAGCAGGCTTACGTACCTACAACGCTATTCAGATTCCCTTTATTTGTAATGGCATTGGGTTATCGCTCACTGTATGAAAACCGTTTTCTTTAATTAAACTGACCTTTACGTAGATAGAGAGTTCTTCCTTGACGGTGTCTGCCGTTCCCTCATTCCGAACGACCTTGCTCGCTTGTCTAGTTCTTCGGACTTGAAGCACTGTGTAGACATACATCACGATGTTTAACGCCAGACTCACTGCTATCGGTACCACAAAGGTGACCGCACGAACGGTGGCGTCAGTGATCCAGCAGATACTTGCCTCTGCGTAGATCACAGGGAGATCGGTGCAGTCACAGAATTGCAACGTCAGACAGGTGCTGACTATGGTCAAGGGGATGCCGTAGGCCACACAAATGTAGGCAACCAGTTCTCGATCGATACCCCTCCGCTGATGCCGTTGAGACATTTTAGACCCCAGGGTATAGGCAACACTGATGCTCAGAACCGTCATCCATGCGAAGGCTGCCAGCCAAGCGAAGTGTGCCGTTGCTGCCCCGGCCATGCAGGTAGCATGGTTCTGCTTCAGATAGCCGGCCAGCAAGAATAACAAGATGGCGACAAACAAGGCCGCAACGAGATTCATCANTAGACTTGCCTGCCGTGTTTCGCAGCTCAGGAAAGACACAGTATGTGACGAAAGTGGCAGTCAGGGCCAGCAACGAAAGGCAGCTTCCTGCAAACGATAAGGCCCGTCGGATGCTTGGTTCTAACCCCTCTGGCATTGGTCCCGTGAAGGAGCAGACGACTGCAGATCCATCGGGAAAGATAACATACTTGGCAACAGGTATACGTTTGCCACTTGCAACAATTTCAAGAATTTGCTGAGCTGAGAAGTAGTACTCAAAGACTTCTAACGTCAAAAGGGATGAGCAGTTGAGGCTAATCACTTTCAGGCACAAAGGCGATGCACTTTCTTTTTTGTACTGTCCGTTGGTCGTGATTTGGTACTTAACAACCTCCAAAAGTCGCCCGTCATATCCTGGAAATGTTCCATTCCAGTATCCACTGCTACAGTGACTGGATTCAACTTGGATAAATGGAACCAGCACTAATAGGTCTGATATGTTACACAACAACAATGAGTTTAAGGTGGAACCGTTCATCCTTGCTGAGTAAAGCGTCAAATCAACAGTTGCTTCGACGTCGAGCGCCTCCCAAGCCGAATTCAGAAGAAGGATAAGTGTGAACGTGTCCGAGTGTGGCTCCTCCAAAGTGATACTCAAACCTGCCATCAAGGCCTGCCAGCCTTCTGAGTCTTTGCCAAGACGCTCCGACAAGCACTCGACCAGAGATATATCCATGCTACTGTTGTTTGGTGGAGAAAAGGGGATCTCTGCCACACATTCCTCACCACTTAACCAATACCCCGCTGCACAAGTCAGCACACGGCATCGCTCCAGGAAGGGGTCGTAGATCTGACCTTTGGAACACGGCAGCCCGCCGATGGAAGTGGAGGAGGTGAAATCGAAGAGAACCTCAATTGTGAGGAAGCCGTCGTAAGGACTGCACACGGCCTGACACGGGCCCCAAGGTGATGGGTCGCACCAGAACTTACAAACGTGGTCCTTGCAGGAATTGTCCGGTACAAGGTTTTTACCATTGCACATAGCACAGTGCGGATTACGGTATCGGATATTCTCCCGACCAGTTCGCACGGGTGCGTAGTACGATCTACAAGCTGTCTCAGATGCGGTGCCCCAGAATTCTTGTGAACAGGTATTGATGAGGTGCGTAGAGCACTTTCGTATCGGTTTGTGACCTTTTGGAGGAGCTGTAATCCAGCCTTTTGTTGGCAAGGATCGGTTAAGAGCCGGATAATAATTCATCTCGGTTGAGTCTATTACATTGTCTGAGGCAAACACATTCCACCTGCGTAACGTCATCACAGATCTGCCGTTACACAAGGCGCAGTATATGTTCTTGAAATCCACCCCTTGTTCGTCGTAGACTGGCATGGAACCAACGATGTCTGTCACGTTAACTGCCATTTCGCACAGCTTGCGCGTACCTTGGTCCAACCAGTCGTCAGGGCAACGATTGACGGCCACGAAGCCAATGTGAGTAAACCGACTGCCTGGTACCCACACACAGCCAAACCAATCTGACGTGAAGCCCCCGCGCTCTAAACTCGATACTGCAGGACTGCAGACGTTGGCAAAGTCGTAACAGCAGTCGTCGAATAAAACACAGGAGTCGTCGCATTGACAGTAGTGAAAATCATCATCATCATCAGAATCATCCATTGGATGAATCTGTTGTTGACAGTTTGCACCACACAGCTGCTTAGAACCACATAAATAGGCAGTCTCGTTATACTCTCTGATTTCTGCACGGGGAAACAGGAGAAAACGCAATGGGTACATACAAGACATAACCAAACGAAAGGAGTCCACGTCATTTTGAAAGAGATAGTAGAGTTGGTAAAATTTACCGTCAAAGTCGTCTCTTTACCGAGTCTAGCAACAACAATTTGTTGTGAGGGACTTCAGTTATCTTCAGCTAAATTATTCAAATGAATTTGACGGTCTGATATTACCTTCAGACACCCTATGGTCAGATTTTCTTAAACTGACTTACCGGTGAAGCATTCCAGCGTGGTGTAAGCCTGGCACTGCCGTAGCGAGTAGTGCTCACACTCACTCAGACTCGCTTCGTTCCCAACGCAACCGATATCAACGAACAGCGTATAGTTGGTTGTATGCCCGATATCAACTTCGTCAAAGGACGCGGATCCAACTGATAAGGCGAAATCGGACAATCCAAGATCGCGGCAGGCAACGTTTCCTGCTCTCTCCTTGTAAAATGTATTGCTGCAGATGGCGCCCCAGTCTCGTTTGTCTCCGCAGCGGCCCTGTAGCAGCCCTCTGGATTCACCTCCCGGCCTATCAACAAGTCGTAATTCGAGGTCCGGCATTCCTAGACACAGAAGGGAACACGCTAATTCCTGCCGACTAATCTGGGAGACGCCATTAAACTCATGCCGAAATTTCTTCCCCTTGGAGCGATATCATATTGGCAAATTGCAATGCCCTATTAGGTAATCAGCGATGTCTGAAAAAGTTGTTAAATTTGGGGTACAGGTGTATGTGCAGACATAAACCTTTGAATGCTATAATAGCCCTCTTGTGGTATGTACATTAGGCTACATTTGAAAATTATTTAACAACTTGTTGCCTCGACAGAAAACCCAGTATATTGACGAAAGAAAGCTGAGCTGATTTTCTCAAAAGATGTTACCATCCCCTCCTTTACTTATCCGTACTTAGCGATTACCTGCATATCCGCATGATAACCACGTGTCTTCTTCATGTGTGCAAGGTGATTGATCAACCAGATTTACTCCAGATGATACGTTCAGGAGGCATCCCCCCGCCGTTATCTCTGTAGGGCGGGTCTCACACATAGCCAGGTATTCTACGCTGGTGACGTTTACCAGCGACGAGTTGTCGGTACGCCCTGGCCCGGCCGCTTCCGCACCACAAGCAAACGGGTATCCGAGGCGCCTGCACAGCTGAAAGGCGATCGTGGCTGCGCGAGTTGAACTGTAGCATAGAGCCATCCAGTTGAAGTGTGGGGACCAGCGAATTAACACTCTTCCCTTGTTGCTAGCACTGTCATTTACAAGCTTGACATCAAGTTTTCTGATATCTATGACTCCTGCATAACAAAAATCACCCCTTTATATAAGACATTTCAAAAGACCTTATTCTAACTCGATGTTAGACAAAACTGTATAAAAGAACTAAAATCAAAATAATGCACATAGAAGGTGGTAACAACAGAAATGCACAGTTTGGAAAAGGAAAGTTCATTTTGCAAGTGTACGTTAGTACAACTCACAGAAGGTCACATTCTCAAAAAGCCTTTCGGAGGTATTGACTCTGGGAATTCTTCTATAAAAGGATTTTACCCGTAAAGCATTCCAGCGTGGCGTAAGCTTCGCACTGTCGCAGCGAGTNGGTGCTCACACTCACTCAGACTCGCTTCGTTCCCAGCGCAACCTATGTCAACGAACAGTGTGTAATTCGTCACGTATTGTGCTTCAACGTGAGTGAAGGGTACAGCCCCTACCGACGTGGCATACTCAGCCAATCCGAGATCGCGGCAGGCGATGCTCCCGGCCCCTGGCCTGTCAAACGTATTGCTGCAGATGGCGCCCCATTCTTGTTTCCCGCCACAGCGACCCTGCACGAGTCTCCTGGATCTATCGAACATCACATCAACCACTCGCAATTCGAAGTTTGGCATCCCTGTACAAGGGATGAAAATGCTGAATACAATGGTCAGGTTACACATAACTGCGACTCTGGTATAAAATTACATCACACGACGTCAAAATTGGACAGGATCAAACTTGAGTTTTCAAATATACTGACTGCTGGCTGATATCCTATTGGGAAGGGAAAAAAGGCTTACATTTCGGGTGAAAATAGTAAATTGTGTTTGCTCGGCTGGCTATTAAAATAGACAGTATTTGATCACGATTAGAACTGTGTAAAAACTGCCACCGAAGCCTTATTACTTGAAATTAAGATAAAACTATAAAGGCTCAAATACAAGCAAAGCATTTAAGGTCCTTTCCTTCCTAGGATATACCACGATGACAATGCATGTACCACATTAACACGATTTTTTCAATGACTGCAGTTTGGTCATAGGCGAAGTCTATTAAATTTGGAAGGAACAAAAGATTTGGGGCGCTATGGGTGTTATGCTACCCTTACACAAAACTACCATTCTTATGTTCCGCCGGTCGTGGGTGTGGGAGGGGGTGCCACTTGAAAACTCCCCAAAATTGGATTGAATTAACACGCAAGGTACAAGTTCCATTTCTATGCCACATGATTAAGTACATCACACTTAATGCCAATCAGCAACGTCAGAGTATCATTCACAAACATAAAGAATGAAAATTGTGGTGGCAAAGTTCACTTAAGAACAGGTCAAAGGTAACTAATTAGGCCAGAAGCTAATTAAAATTGCCATATCTTTTGACGTGTACTGTACAGCAGATTGGAATGGGCCTTAAAACGAAGAGGGGGTTAACGGATATCAAAAGTCTTGCGAATGTTAGTTCTAACTAGACGTTAAATATGGGAAGAAACGCCAAAATGGTACCTAATGATTAATACCCAAGGACTGATTATCATTGTACTTACGATAGGCACATGTACGAAACTACATGCCGCCTGAATGAGAATTACCAACTTAAAAACGGAAGTTATGGTGGAAAGGCCACTTTGGAATTAGTTTTTCGCCGAGGCCATCATGGCGTAACTGATAACAACGGCCAAGCGATTGGAGCAAAGACCAGCGCCACACATTTATGATACGCCGCAAAGGCAGGGCGTCTTCCAACTTGATTTTACCGGCTCATTTTTTGCTTTATTGATAAGCTTGTAAATGTAAATTTTCGCTGCTAACTAATATACATTTTACCACTTACTTCGTGATATTCTGAACAAGTTAATGTATGCTGACACCATCGTTTATGATTATTTGGCCGTTTGCTTCCGTTTAGGTATGCATATCGAAAAATACAGAAAACAAATTCTCGACAATGTGAAAAAGGCCTCGATCGTGACTAGGGTAGCGTCCAAATCTATTGTATAGGTCTACGTCTGCACTCCATCGGAAATACGCGGAGATGAGCAGACAATAGACCTAGCCATAGCTCTGGAACCCCATTTCGGACACGGCGTAGGCTACGTGTACTGTACTTGTGCTTCTGGTCTTTACTCCAGTCGCTTTGTGGTTTATTCGCTGTGTTTAATGCTGGAAATGCTGGTAAGCCAATACGGCCTTGGAGAAAGGGAACAGGTCAAAAGCCACATTACCAACAACTTTTAATGACCATGGACAGTATAACTTTAAAATCTAAATTCACGATAACTAGGGTTCTTGCGGAAATCCATACTAAAAAATATGAAATAAAAAAGCACTCTCCTGATTGTTGTCTCGCATGTTCTCATGTAAATTACACAAAACTATGAAGACTTTTCCTGTCTTATGAGATCAAACTGTTACTACCTTCAGAAGCAAACGATTTACGGTACAAGTTAAAACTGATTCTTAGGGCAAGAACGTAAGATAGGTTCGGGCTTGTCGTAGTTCTCTGTAGTAATGGATAAGGTATGTTTTGCCCCGGTCAATCTTCCCGTTCCTTGTCATCGTCTGATGAAAAGAGCTGTAACTTTGTCTTCAACTGACGACGACAGCTGGAAAACATCATAACTTTCCTTATTATTGGGTATCTCCTTATCTGGTATCAATGCCTCTGGCAGCTGGGGACCGCAGAATCACATGTACACAATCTCATAAGAATCGTTTTCCAATTGCCAACCATCATCTTTTGTAGGATGCTGCTGGATCTCTGTCGAATCCGCATTTGCCAACATTCCTGCGACAAACGACGCCCGTCCGATATGTTGGGAAATCTCTTGAATTATGAGATCATGACCTTCATGGTCCGCCCTTTAGTTTCTTCAGTGGGTCCTCGTTTGCTGATTTTTGGCCCAAAGTTTTTCTCGAAAACTTGGTACCGATGTGCGTCCAAGGATACCACCTTTGCCTTTGCGACATGCCTCCTTGCTGTGAAAGATAGCGGAGTCTGAGTAGTGTAACACTGTATCTAGGTTGTTCTTATAATAGAGGCTAGACAGTGTTACGAAGAAGGAGAATGAGACAACACACCGACGCAGGGGTCTGAGGGGTTGCAAGTGTAGAAGAGAACTCAGACAAACTGTCAAGACTAGCAAAACTGAAACACAGCTTGGGTAAGCGCAAGCCCTAAAATAGTTGATGGGGAGAAAAGGTAAAGTGTTTGTAAAAGTCATCGACCACTTAGATGGACACCACTGATAAAACGTGGCTGCAGACAGGATGTCTGGAACTGGCTAACCACAACTAATGTTTAAGACATTACCACAAACAACACTATTATAACTGTTATCATGGGCAGGGACATCCCGCAATCTAATGGGAAGGATTTGTAATTACTTTCTATAATTTTGGCTTAAAGTAGTCTCTTCGCCATTTCCTCTCGTCATTTCCGTAAAGGCTGTCTATGCCATCCACATGAAGTAATATTCTAGATCACGTATTATACACCCTCTAAAAGTTGCCCCAAATCCCAAAAGATACGTGACGAAAAAATCGTTGACAGCGCACATCATTCTCTACATTTCCAATGTGAAATTATGGGCCTGAAGAGAGATACACACGGTCATTTTAGGGATTGCCAAACCAACCATTTTGCAACCTAAAACACCAACTCCTAGTAGAGACAATGAGCCTTTTCCCGTTGCAGTTGGGGGGCCTACTGGAAAACAAACATATCATTTCTGACTCGCTAGCGCACTAAATTTTTAAATTTTTTCTAAAAATTTGATAGGCCTACTTTTTGGAGGGGTTACAATTCCTTCATATATTCGCAGGTTGTGGCTTCCTGAGTGTTGTCAGTGATGTTGTGTAGCAGCAGTACCAGAATTGTGTGCGGAGCTTTGGCCCATAATCAATCGCAGCTGGCCATGTATGACCACTGACATGTTCTGAAGTGGCCTTTTCACCACTTTCCCGATTTGACGCTTGCAATCTGGAATCAGGGCAACATTCTCGACAATTCCGTTGTGGTTTTAAGCACGTGTGTTAATTAAAACGTTAACAAAGGGTAGCAAGATCTTTGACCTATTCTCATCTGGCCTTTCCACCACAATTTCTGTTCTTAAGTTGATAATTCTCATTCAGGTGGCCCAGTTCTACAAAGCCCACGTGTTTTGTACATGTACCTTCCATGTTAATTAAAACGTTAATTAGAAGTAATTAGGTACAGTATGGCATATTTGACGTATTCTTTAGGCTAACACGTCAAAAGATATGGCCATTTTAATTAGTTTCTGGCTTAATTAGTGACGTTTGACCTATTCTTAGGTTGCCTTTTCACTACGATTTTAATTCTTATGTTACTGATTCTCTAGCTTCTTTATTTGATTTCAAACGTGTACCCATCACGTTAATTAAAACCCTAATTAGCGTCCTTCTAAAGTGATAATTCTACCAGACATGTTCTTGTCAGGCTGCTGATTGCATTAAGTGTGGTGTCCTTAATCATTTGGCATAGAAATGGAACTTACACCTTGCATGTTAATGTAATCCAACTATGGGGGTTTTCAAGTGGTTCCCCCTCCCACACCCACCACTAGAAGAATGGCAGCTAGTTCTGCATAAGGGTAGGCAACTACTCCTATACTCTTTTAAACTGCTTTAAACTCCTTTCGTTTAAGGCTTACCAACAAATCCACAAGATAACCACATGTCTTGTTCATGTGAGCAATGTGATTCGTCTGTGAGTCGAGGTGCCGGTAGC